TGGTGCCTGCTTCGGGGTCATGGGCTTGGGGACATGAGCACTGACACTTGGCGTTGGCTGCTGCATTTACTGACCACTTACTGTGCCCCTGCCTTGTGCTGGAGGCTGGGGAACTTCAGCCGTGCTCCCTGGCCTCCGCAGTGCTCACAGAGGGTATACAGCACAGATGCACCCAGAAGGCCAGGAGGATCACCTTGCTTTATGCAAACCCGGTCTGAAGCTGGGGCTTCTCACAAGAGGAATTAGGAGCTGGTTACTTTACAAAATGACTTCCAGGAAGGTATCGTTAGATTCAGAGTTTGGGTGCCTTTGTGAGGGTTTTGATTTGCCTGGCCTCACGGGTGCCCCAAGCTCCTGTCTCCTTGTCCTCTCTTCTGTTTGTCCGTGTCCTAGGCCAGACAGCTACTGAGCTGGGCAGGTGCTGTTTCGTGTGGACTGTCTGCTTGGCAGAGCGCAGGCCTCTGAGGTGCCTGGTTTCTCAGACTCACTGACTCCTGTCTCTCTTCTGGCCTCCTGGTGGCCCTGTGGTTCAGGGCCTGGGCCTGTCTGTCCCATGAGCTCCTTGTCACTTGTTTCCTGGGTGTCCCATCCCTTGGCGATGGCCTGCATGCCTCTCCCATTCCTTCCCATGTCTTTGTGGCTCATGGTCTGTGGCTGGTGGGTAGAGAAGGTCTGTTTGTTGAGCTGTCCCTGGGCTGTCTGGTCCCGCACTTGCAGAGGAAGAAGGAAGCTGTTGTCTGCTGAGGCAAGGCCTTGCTCAGGTCTCTGCATCTGAGCGGAGCTGGTGGGCAGAGGTCCAGCCCAGGGAATCTCGTTCCTATTCTTAGCTGTGTGTCACTGGGCAAGTGGCTGCAGTGCTCTGGGCTGGGTCTATTTCTTCACCTCTCCAATGGGTAAGGCAACCTGGCCCACCCCTTGACTGAACAATCTGGCGTGTGTATTCAGGGCCTGGTTTTGAACTTGCCGTACCAGATTCTCACAGGGCAGGGCTTGCATTGTAGCCACTGTCCTGGTCAGGCCACTTTGTCTTTCTGGGCTTTGTCTCATCTGAGAAGTGGTCTGGTCCAGCAGGGGTCCTGTTGACAGTGGGTGGCCTACTGAGTGGCCCCAGGGACTCCATAGTGAGCTTCTTTATGAGTTATCAGATGCATAGCTGCCTGTCACCGGGGCTATGGGTCGGGGCTGCTTGTCATGTGATCCACAGGCCTCAGAGGAGCCCATACTCAGACAGGGTAGGCAGTCATCATGGGGAGGAGCAGGTGCAGCCAGGCCCTGGTGGGGGAGGGGCTGTGACCTTTAGGATGACTTCTGGCTTCAACCCCGAGACAGCTCCTGATGGGCTCTGAGGCCCTGACAGGTGGTCCTTGGGCAGCCCAGGGGAGGGAGGGGAGGAGGGAAGGGAGGAGGGAGGGAAGTAGAGAGGGAAGAGGTGGGGGATGTTGGAGGCCTTGTGGCTGTCTACATAAGAGCTGCTTCTGGTGTGAACAGCGGGGTAGCAGGTGTGAGACCTGGTCAGGGGTCAAGATGGATTGGAGATGGAGGATGAGGAAGGAACCAAAGCCAGGCATGAGGGTGGTGATGGAGCAGAGGCCCCAGAGGTTTGGGAAGGAGCCCACGGCGACACAACTGGAGGTGAGAGCAGAGCCTCGGGGTGCATCTCAGTTTGGGTGGGGTGGGGGAGGGTAGCTGGCCCTGCTGATGTTGGTGGCCCTCAGCCTGGAGCCACCTGGGGCGTGCAGTGGAGAGAGACAGCGGGTTGCAGCCAGTGGGGTGAGGCACAGACTGAGGCAGCCTCAGGCCTCATTCAAGAGTTCTCTGGGCCCCAGACGTAATGGAGACTGATGCGCTGTCTGCTGAGGAAGCAGGGGGCTTGCAGCTCCATCGGGCGAGCGTGGATACAGGAGAGACCGCTAGGGGCCAAGCCTGAACCCGGGGCTTGTGGGTACCTGAGCTCACAGCCAGCTCTAGCCGTTCTGGGGAGATGACCTTGACCCTGCTGGCCATCTCACATCCGTCTCCCCACACCAAAACGGTGCACACTGTGCGAGGGTAGGGACAGTGACGGCTCTAACACAAGACCTGGGGCTGGGAAGAGCTCAGGAGGTGCGGGGGACTATCGTAGTTTCTGCCGTTGTTACTATTATGTGACAGACCCACTTTGGGTGGTCTGCAGGGTCACTCCATTTCTAGAGAACAAGGAATGGGTGTGTCCAAGAAAGTGACAGAGCAGGGACAAAGGGTGGAGCAGGAATACCTTGACAAAGCTGCCCAACGGAGTCTGACCTATGTCTGATTTTATCAGGTCAACATGTGGGAAGTCCAGAGAGGGCAAGGGTTTTGTTGAAGGTCACACAGCAGCTGGTGATGGCAGCAGACCTGTTGGCTTGGTGGTCTGGGTGCTGTGCCCCCTCCGTTGTGAAGAAGAGATGTGATCATTTATCAGGGGAGTTTAATAATGAATGAAGTCGAAGTGTCTCTAATGCATGCAGCAGGCCCGAGGTAATAAAGGACCCTGTATTAATTCAGAAGTTAATGAATATGCAGGTGTGTCTGAATGATTAATGGGGCTCCCGAAGGCCTTGGAGGGGAGGTGTTGAGCTGTTGCTGGTGGAAACATGAATATTGCATACATCTGTAAACTGGGAGCAGGTGGGCATGAATGAACTGGGGGACCACAGTGACCAGAGAACACAGGAGACACCCAGGCAGAGTCACAGAGTCATGGCCAAGCAATCTGACTTTCTTGTACAGTTGTCTTGAGCGGGTTAGCTAACCTTTGGGAGCCCCATGCCCTCGATGCAGGATGAGACGAGCAAACCAGTGACTGTCCCTGGATCCAGAAGACCAAGCAAGAGAACTCTTGTGGGCTGACGCAGGCTGAGGGGGCACAGCCAGTCCAAACTAGTGCAGGATTTTGTGAGGAGAGCTAGTCAGGCATCTGTGAGGCCCTGGGTTCAAACCCCAGTGAGGGGCTAAGCTAGAAAAGAGAGTTGAGACGTAGATGAGAAAAGAAAAAACTAGAAAAGATCGGATTACAGAAACCATCGAGCAGGGCGTTGGTGGAGCACACCTTTAATCCCAGCACTCGGGAGGCAGAGGCAGGCGGATCTCTGTGAGTTCGAGGCCAGCCTGGTCTACAGAGCTACAGGGAGGAACCCAAAAAAGGAAACCAGCGAAGAATGACACTTTATAGTTTGTAAACGGGCAGGAGCCTCCTCTTCCCTTTGCTTCCTGTAGCAGCTGCTTGCGGTTGAGAGGATAGCCTTGGGAATGCTGAAATGCCTGGGCTTAGAGAGGTCTGGTTACTGTCCAAGTGTTGGCAGTGAGGGGTAGCCAGTGAGAGGCAGGTTTGCACTGTCACCCTGTGACTCAGTGTACGTGAAGAAGACAGCCCAGAAGGGTTTCAGTGTCTTGGCCTAGGGGGTGGGGACTGGGATTGCCTTTGGGCTCCTCAGCTTCTCTGTCTCTGCCTGCTGTTTGAGGCCATCTGAGTTGAGATCCTTCCCCATGCATGACTCCTAGACCCCGAGGCCATCACTGCTCAGAATGTATTTATGAGTCCATGTGCACTCGTCTTAGATCCTGGAAGCAGTGGGCGCCCAGGCCTCGCACCCCTTCTCAGCCTTGCTTGTATGTTTCAGTGTTCCTGTCAGTGCGGCTGATATCCTAAGCAGGGCCTAGTGTCGAGGAGCCAGGAGGTGCATCCCTCCTCTGACCGCCTCTGTCTCTCTGGGGGCGGCTCCATCGGAATGAACCTGTGGAGCCTCTTTCATCCTTTGGATCCAGAGGTGGTGTGGAGGCCACACTGGGCACTGTTGCGCTCCGGGTTTTGCAGGGTGGTTCAGACTGTCCCCCTGGCTTCGTTCCCAATAAGACCCTGCCTCCTCCTCATGAAGCTGGGATGGACCCAGGGCAAAGGCACCCACAGCGGGGCCCACCCGGTTAGCTGTTGTCACTCCCGGCTCCTGGTGTAGAGGCTGTTGGAGAGAGGGCCTCTGGCCCCTAGGCCTCTTTCCCTACCGTTCCACACTCCTGGGCAGAGCGAGTCACACCCTGGACATCTTTGCTCTTTAGAGAGAATAGAGGGCAGGGAAGCCTCATTTTTCTTTTCTGCTTCTTGGGGCTCTGGCCTGGGCCCCAAGGGCTTCTCCCAGCCAACCCTGTTGGGATAGAACTCTGCTGACCTTGGTGGTCCCTGTCCTGGTGTAGTTTGCTGGACAGACATGGAAGCCAAGGCCCAGAAGGAAGGCAGCTCTGGGGGCAGGGCTGGGGTTGGGGCCCTGCGGGGCCCACTTAGCTGTGTATTTATAGACCCCACTGATCTATATTAACTCTGGGCCTGCTCAGGCTTTGGCAGCCTGCGATCTGAGGGCTGCTTTGAACCCTCTGGGGTATTGCTGTATCTGAGCTCGCCCCCTGGGGAGAGGCGAACCAGGTGAGCCCCCTTCTCACCTTCCCTTCTGTGCCTGGGGGTTCCTGCTGGGCACTTGGCTCGCACAGTCTTTAACTGCTTGGGCGGGATGGGGGTGGGGCTGGTATCTTTGTCTGAGGGTTGTTGTACCTTGCTTCTTCCAGCTCTGCGGGGAGACTGTCTGTACAGCCTGGGATCCAGGGCAGCCCTGCCCCTGCCCCAGGCCTCAGTCCTCACAGCTGTAGAATGGGCATGGCTCCCAGGCAGTCCACAGGCATCAGGTGCCAAGCACTCACAGCTCCTAAGCTGGAGGCCACTATGTGCATGCCTCTTGCGTCTCTTGCAGCTCTTGTCATGTGCTCGGAGGGACCAAAGTGTCACCTCTACATGGGACCTGTGAGGCCCTGGAGGCAGCATGACTTGAATTCGGACTCACCTAAGTCTGAATGTTTCCTCTCCCCAGGCCCCTCTCCAGGGCCCATGTGGTCCTTGGTGGGGGGGGAGGGGGACCGAACGCCTCCCCCAACAGCGTGGTCCAGCCCCTGGTTGCCATGGAAACAGCTCCACTAACTCTATGCTTCTCTTCCAGAGCAGAGACGACTGGCCGCCCTGAGTGCAATTCAATTCAACAGACATTTACTGAGTGCCTACTATGCGCCAGGCCTTAGGCTAGGCACTGGGGAGCACAGACAGGAAAGTGGGGGTCCCATTCTCAGATAGTTCTGGTACCAAGAGAGAAGCCTTGTGGAGGGCTGGAACAGCAGAGCCCGGGGTTCAAGGGCATCACAGGAGGGCTACTGTTTGTCTATGCCTCAGTTTCCCCCACCTGTAACATGGAAGGGCAAGGTGGGGTGAAACTTTTCCAGGACCCCATGGGCCACTCATTGCGGGTGGGGTAGAGCAGGGAGGTCATCCCTCTCCTGCAGGCTCCTCAGAGAAGGGGCAAAGTTCTGGGCCCTAGGGTGTGAGGGTGGGGGCGGAGCAGGTAGGAGCAGCTCCCGGGCTCAGGAACACCATGAACAAAGACCTGGAGGACATGGGAGGTGGGTAGGCATCCCAGAAGCTCAGAGAAGGCGAGAAGGTTTGAGAGTGTGAGCTCTGTTTGGGGGCAGTGGCAGCCATGATGGGCTGTTGAGGAGGGTGTCAGGAACACATCTTGCTTTACCTCACCCTTCTCTTCCTCCCGCCCTCGTAACTCCTTTAGAACAAGCAGCCATGTAGTTAGTGTGGCATCTGTGTAGTGCCAGGCAGGTCACTGATAGTCTTCCCTGCTGCCCCTGGAGGTGGGCACTCGTGGGCCCAGCTCACAGGGCTAGCTCACTACTGCCCCCGGAGGTGGCAGTATGATCTGATGCCAATGCACCTATGCTCCTACATCACCCCTAGTTGACGGGGTCTGCGCTCTGTGTGGCCTCCCCCATCCTGTCTATTCCATTGTCCCGAGGTATTCCCAAGAGCCATGGCAGGAAGACACCCAGAAGCCACTAGTTAGACTGTGGGCCTGGTAGCCATCTTTAGAGACCAGTGTAGGGTGGCTCCTTTCCTGCTTTACATGAGTAGCTTGAGGCTCGGGTCCAAAGTTAGACACAGCGAGGGCCAGACTGGGCTGAGATCCTGTCTCTTTAGTGGCAGCTGAAGCTCTGGGGGATGTTGAAACTGCCCCACCCTGACTGTGGAGGAGCTGCTGCGAAGCAGCCTCATCAGGTAGTACAAACGACTCAGACCTCAGACCTGGGTTCAAGTCCTGGTGTTGCCTTGCATGACTGTGTAATGGTGAGAGACATTAGCCACTCTGAGCCTCGGTTTCTTTATTTGTTTCCAGGAGGGCTTGGCTTTCCTATCCACTTAGCAGCGGTAGATATTCACCGAGTACTCACTGAGGTCTGGTGCTGGCTGTGTTGGTGGGGAGGCTCACAATTGGGCCTTCCTTGGAGAACTAAGGGGAAAAGCCAGTGGCGGTTAGGATTCTGGTAGGGATGGAGAAGGACAAAGCCCAGGGATTGTAGGGACCCACATGGGGCACTCCAACCAAGTGAGGAGGACAGGTTCCAGCTCCAGAGGACCACAGGGGCTGGGCTCTGGGTGTGCTGGAATTTTCCCAGATCAGTCAGAGCCAGGGAAGCCTCTCTATTAGGGGAAGCCATACTTGGGTTTATATTCAAGTAAGTTCTCCCTCTGCAGGGTAGAGGACAGACGTGATAGGTTGGTAAGCTTGGAGGATGCTGAAGGGGTGGAACATAGTAGGGCCAGTGGGGCTGGTGGACAGGAGTATCCTTAGGGTAGGGAGCTGGAGGGAAGCCAGACAGGCTGCGTGTGTGGAGGGGAGCGTCCTTCTAGGTGCCAGGGAGGGGACAGGAAGGGGGGCAAGTAGGTGATGGTGGTCAGCACAAAGTCATCTGTTAGGGACCATGAAGAGGGCCAAGATATGCTCTGGGGCAGGAAGTAGGCTTGAGAGGAGCAGAGAGCTGGAATGGGACCCTGGGAAGGCTTCTGAGGAATAGGGACATAGGGGGAAAGCCAGCCTTGCGGGTCCTCAGGCTGGGATGGCTGTGTTTCCCCAGAGGGAGGCATAAAGGATGTCTAGTCATGGTGGCAGGAGGGCCCTGAGGGGCAGAGAAGGCAGAAAGAACCCTAGCTTGCAGCCCTAGGAAGAGGAGGTTGCAGTAGAAGGGAAGGTGTTTGGGAATGGAGTAAAATATTTGCATGCGTAACAGGGCTGGGTGAGGAGAGGAAATTACCATACATCAGGATCTTGTTATTCAACCTAATTTTCAAAGGGGCACAGCTGTCGCGATGAGATAATCCGTTAATTATAACAGCCATTGTGCTTTGGCAATGGGAGAGAAACCGAGGCTGGGTACAGGCTGAGGCTGGGTGGGAAATGGCCTTCGAGGGCCCAGGACCTCAAAGAGGGGGCAGGGAGAGAGGCAGAGAGGGGCGCTGGGCTCTCAGAACCAGGGGGAAGAGCAGGCAGGGACCAGGTTGCAGCCTCTGCACAGCCACCATCAGCATGGAGGGGCTTAGGTCTACTTCTTGTCAGCTGGCTCTGTGCTCCTAGAGCCAGTCGCCAGAATCTTCTAGAGCAGTTAACTTTATTGAGCAGTTACTATGTGCCAGACCCTGCTCCCTCTAGCTGTTCCTATAGCCAGGGCTCTTCCTGGTTTTGTTTTGTTTTTCCCCCAGAAGAGGAAACACCCAAGAAGGTAGCTGGCAGAGACCCATGTGACCTGACTATGGCTCTGAACTTCCAGAATAGCCTGAGAGACAGGACCCACTGAGTGGGACAAGAGCGTCCATGGTTTAAGGCATGTCATCACTGCGGTCACGGGTGGCCCTCCCCCGGTGGCATTTCCGGGGCCCTGGGTGCTGACAGAGCCTCCTTGTTCTCTGGGCTGCAGCTGCAGGCCCTCTGCAGCCTCCAAGGCAGCCTTTAGTCTGGCCCCCAACCCACAGAAAACTGCCCTCAGGCCAGGAGAGGGCGTTGCACACCATCTCGGGTGCTCCCCTGCTGGTCTTTTGGACCACCTGCTTGGAGGTAGGAAGGCTACAGACAGTTGGCTCTTCCCTGGGAGGAACTCTTAGCCCAGCCTTGGCGAGGCGGAGGATGGTCTATCAGGGACCTGGGGTGCTGGGGCCTGGGAGAGGCAGGCGGGAGGCAGTGAGTCATGGGACAGGACCCTGAAGTCTTGCTGCCCAGAACCCCACACACATTTGGTCCAAACTTGGTTCAGGAGTCAGCTGTAGGCCTGATGCAACCTTAACTAGGAATTCTGCAGAGGCCAGCTGGCAGGTAGGGGGCTTATTCTGAAAATGCACCTGGAACTCCCAGTGTGACCCAGAGACTCAGGTAGCACTGTTGGAGGACAGGCAAGAAGTTGGGGGTCCTTAGAGGGGCACCAGGTATGGGAAACTCTCTGAGGACTCCCTTTAAAAGCCAAAGGGAGGCCAGGGAAGGCGGGGGCAGTTTGAAGTCCTGGAGAACGGATGGCTCCTAGCCCAGGCCCTGAAACAGACTGTTAGGACCAAAGAGCCACAACCCTAGATTTATCACTGGAGACTCCCAAACCGACAGACCCATGCTGCTAGTGTCCTAGAGTTCTGAGACCCAGAACCGCTGAGGGGCAGGGTGGAGTGGGGTGGGGATGGAGGCCAGGGTCAACTATGTGTGCGAGGAGCAACCTGCTGGTGGACCCCACGCAAGCTGGCATAGCTGCCCCACTCTTGAGCCCCTGTCTTGTTTGCCTTGTAAACTCCAGTACCCAGGGCTCAGGATGACTGTCAGGGAGGACAGTACCATGGCTACCCCGTTGTCTGTGGGTGCTACTGGGTTTCAGAAACGGAAATTCTTTAAAGACAAAAGCTCCCAAGCTTTCCACATTGCCAGCTAGCTAAAAACAAAATTTAATTACTGTCCAGATGAAGCAGGGTCCCTTGGCATTGCATGAGTCAGAACCTGGGGCTGAGGAGGAGAAAGCCACTGCATAGCGGTTGGAGGCCGAGTCCCTCTGTAGAGTGGCGATCAGAGGCTGCTTCCAAGCCCGAGTGATGCCTTTTCTGCCCATGTATTCCCGGCAGGCCAGGCTGCTCCAGGGGGCTGCATGCTCTGAGCTGGGGCCTCCGTTTCTACCCAGAGGTCCCCTGACACACTGCCTTGCCTTGGGACGACTCTGAGGATATTGGAAGGCAGGAAAATGCCCACCCTTGGGACCCTGGAGGAGGAGCAGGCTGTAAGGCAGAACCAAGAGGGTGAGCCTAGCTGGTGCCTGGTACATAGTAGGTATTCCATAAATGTTTATTGAATGAATGAATGGAGGCCATGCAGGCAGAGGCAGCGTGCGCGCGCAGGCACTGTGCGAGAGCGGGTCCAGTGGAGACCGGTGAGTAGTGCCCAGGGGCTGCCGCTGAGTCAGCTGGGGGAGGAGAGGCCAGGCAGGAGAGGGCAGGGCCAGCGTGGGCGGAGAGGCCAGGTGGGGACGGGCAGAGCAATAGGGGGAAGAGACCAGGTGGGCAGAGAGGAGAGGTCGGGTAGAGAAAGGGCAGCATCAGATCGGGGGAGGAGAGGCTAGGAGGGGAGAGGGTAGCACTCGGTGGGGCAGAGTCAGCACTAGAGGTGGGGACCAGGGGAGGAGAGATCCTGTGAGGAGGGGGAGAAGCAAGCGGTTCCCTGAGTAGGGGGGCTTCTGCAAGAGTCAGGATTGCTAGGATGGACTTCCCTTCAGAGCCTGCTTGAGGTGGACGCCCTCAGGCCTCCATGCCCTGTGCCTTAGGTTGGTTGGGACTGGGGTGGGCAGGAGCTGGGACAGGCCAGGTATTGCAGAACTGCTTACAAACCAGGGCTGGGCCTCCCTGGCAGGCTTGGAGCAGCAGCCAAGCCCAAGGCCTTGACTTCCTGTGTGGATGCAGTTGTGGTTAGTGCTGGGTGCCTTGGTGACAGTGAGGTTGAGGACCTACGAGCTGGGAAGGTGGCACAGTGGGCAGAGCCCAAGAGACCGTGCACACTGCTGTTCTCCGAACCCAGGAGGAACTGAGGCCCAGAGACAGAAGGCCCTGGATTTCAGGGCTTTTGCTAGGAACCAACCCCAGGCCTCATTTCCCCAGAGCTGTTTCTCCCGCGCCAAGGCTCTGCCTATGGCAGGCCCTTCTGGGCTGTATGTCTCTGGCCAAGAGTCTGAGGCACCATATGTGTGGGGGTCTTTTTAGGCTCTGGGAGCCCACCATAGCTCAGAGATGGCAAGCCGTGTCTACCGCAGCAGGACAGGTACAAGAGGAGCCCCTGAAAGGTGTTGGAGGTGTGGTGATGGGAGGGACGGTGTTTCTCTCACCCGGGCCTGCTCTCTCTTCCCCGTGACATGGCACAGCCATGACTGCCCCCAGCACGGGGTCACACAGAGTGGGTGCCCAGGCAGAGGGCAGAGGCCAGCTCCCTGGGGACACAGAGCAGCTGGCATGAGGGCTAGATTAATGAGACGTGATTGAATGGGGTGGATGAAACCCAGCACCTCCGGTGAGGCAGAGACGGAGCGGCCCCCAGCTGTCCCGGGCGTTCTGCGGGTGTCTGCGGGTGTCTGCGGGTGTCGGGCAGTGTGCACAGGGACGTCGAGGGCAAGGTGACAACACTGACACACGCCCCTGCTGCGCTGGCAGACGTAAGAAGCCAAGCACCATGGGAGTGTGGCTCCGACGGCACCCATCTTGACGCTGGCTTCCGTGTAGCTCCAGGATGACCCTGGAGTGCCTGAACCTGGGGCGGGAAGGAGCTGACAGCATGGTTCAGGGAGAGATGGAGAGGACACAGTGGCCGGCCCCTGCTGAGAGGCGTGGGAAGCAGTACCCGCAGAGACCCTAGCAAGCACTCAGGCTGTCTTAGATTCCTGGCTGTGTGACCTTGGGCAGAGTGCTATGCCTCTCTGAGCCTCTGAAATGATAAGCGTAAGGAGCTGTGAGGCTGGGAGGCTCAGGGCATTTCCTGACACATCATGAGCCCCTACTGGTGTTGAGTCCTGACCTCTGACCCTGAGGTCAGGGGTCCTAGCCCCTCTTCCTCTGCCGTCCCCCATCTCTCCTGCGCACGGCAGCACCTGGTGTGTCTGAGCCTGCAGCAAGCATGGGGTCACACCAGAGAACAAGATAGAGCCCCACTGTGGTGAGCTGTGTGGCGGACTGAGGGAGTGTGGGTGTCAGCGAGAGTCAGATGTTATGATTGAGCACAGTGAGGGGGAAAAGCTACATTGGGCAACAAGGGGGGTTCTCTCGGCTTTGGGGGCAAAATGGGTGAGGATGAGGAAAAGTTTAGGAGAGTCCTAAGCTGAGGCCGTGGGCTGTGGGTGTGCTGAGTAAGTGTGTGTGAGCCAGAGTCATGTGCAAAGGTCCTGGGGTTGAGGGCCGTGACTTTTTGACAGACTGATTAAGTTAGCTGGGGATTGGAGACAGCTCCTTCTGGTTGAGGACAGGAAACTCACGAGATGGTCAGTGTGTGTGTGTGTGCCCCACTGCCATGAGTCCAGCCCTCCAGTCTCGTCATTTGTTAACTGAGGTCAGAGAGGGTGGTGAGCATGCCTGTGTCACACAGCTCTGTGTTTGAGCACAGAATGTCTTATTTCCAGTGCCTGCACTTTTATCTCCCTCCCTTGGGGCAGGCACATCACCCTTGAAACCCAGGTAACTTGTCAACTTACCAGGTAGTCCAGTGATGGTGACACAATGTCCCACTTCGTAGTGGAGGAGCAGAGACCCAGGGCAGTTTGCCCTAGAAGACCCTGGAAGATGAAGGCAGCAGCAAGCCCTAGTGTCCAGTCCTGAGGCCCGAGCCTTGGCCACAGAAGGTAGCCAGCTTTGTCCCTGGAGGTGGATGGATGGATGGATGGATGGATGGTGGCCCGGTGGCCCAGTGATAGCTTCTAGAAATGGTGACATTACTGTGAGGACTGAGACTCTGGGCCCGAGGCATCCTGTCTTCCTAATCCGGGGTAATGTCATGGACACGCATGGTTGTGATGGTGTCGGGGGACACTTGGCCAGCCTGGTCCGAGAGGAGTCATCTGCCAGCTCTGCCAGGGCTAAGCCGCTGCAAGCAGCGTTTCCCTTGATTTTCTCATTTCTCATGGGTGGCCAGGACACCAGCCACGTGTTTCTAGACCCTGTCCCTGTCTCTTGAGCTGAGCAGAGTCACCATGGGGATGGAAGCCTGGGTCAGCATAGCCGAGACGACTCTGCTCTGTACCGGAAGCCCTGGCACTAGCCATCTTGTCACATAAGAGGGGAAACTGAGGCTCGGAGGAGGCCTGAGGCTCACCGAACACTGAGCAGTGGCCATTCTCATCCAGACCACCGCAGGCTGATGGCATGATAGAAGCCACACCAACCACACTGCTCGGCCTGGGATCCCCCCGTGGGAACCCACTATTGCCCCAGCCATGCCTGTGAGGGGCATCCATTCAGTTTCATGTGTGGGGGACTAGGGTTCGGGCCAGTGCCTGCCCTGCAGGGAGGGAGCACTTGCCAAGAGCAGAGGATCCCACTGGGGGCTTGGGCTTTACATCCTGGGTCCTGAGATGGACCTGCCCCAGGTCTGCTCAGGGCCTGGACTGTGTCCCCTCTTTTGTCCTGGCCCCAGTTTCCCTCATAGGAAGACTGGAGTCCACCTGAGCCTGGGTTCATCTTTTCATTTTGGAGATGCCAGGATTCTGAGTCCATGAAGGGCAAGGACTCAACCCCAGCTGAGTCAACCTGGCCACTGAAGCTAAGCCTGAAGAAGACTGCCCACATGGCCCACTCCCTCTCTCCAGCTCTGACCTACCCCCCCTCTGCTCCCCGGTGGCCTGAGCCCGCTGGTGCTGCTGGCTCTTCTCCCTCCTTCCTGTTCAAGGATCCACGGGAAGGACCATCACACAGCCTGTAGCCTGCTAGGCTGCTGCTTGCCAATGCGGCACAGATCTGGGATGTGTCCCCTGCCCCTGCTGCCTTGCCTGGGTTGCTGCATGGCTCCCCGGCTGCCCGGGGGCTCTGGGCAGCTGCTGTCATGCTTCCGTCCCCCCTGACATGCTCTAGGATGTGTTTCGGGGCCTTGACTGTGTCCGGTCTCACGTGTCTCCTTGAGCCCTGGGGGTGGGCAGCAGGTGACTGTGCCACACTGTGGTACCCAAGCCCATCCCCTCCCTCGCTGTGGTGAGTCCTCTGGAGGAGGTGCTCTCCACTTGTCTCTCTGCTCACCGTCTTCCAGGTGTGCTCTGTGCTCTTGAGGAGCACCCTCATGGGAACAGGGGAGGATGGTTTTGTCTCTTTGACCCCCGAGACCCTCACACCCACCCCCTGCACACCTGCACCTTGATTGGGCAAACAGCTGGGCGGGGGACCAAGTGCTACTGTCAGCATCTTTGTGGCCTTGTCCTCTTCCCTGCCAGTGCTAGGTCTCACGGGTGGTGGGCAGATAGCCCAGCATGAGGACAGGGCAACTGATGCATTCGGGACTTGGTGACAGCCCCTCCTCCCCACTATACGTCACGGTGCGAGTAGGAGCTGGCCCTCAGCCCAAGCCGTCCTGGGGAGCGGAGGAGTAGGACAGGGCCACCCCTTGGGCTTGGGGGACCTATGGGGACCTCTGTCTACCCTGGACCGTCAGGGCAGGGCAGGTCCAGGTGGGACTAGTACCTCTCCAAACAAGGGTCCCCTCCCCCAGCTCCCTCCTGTCCCCTGCCCATCTTCCCCAGCTCCATTGAGTCTGGTCTTAGCTAAGGTGATATTAGTTTAGCTTGGATCTGAGCCGGGGTGGGGGTGGGGATGACGACTCTGTGTGACTGCCTTTGTATGCACGCACACACGAGTATGAGAAACACACATGTGCTTAAGTGGCATAGAGGGGGTGGGCAATTGCCTTCCTCTCCAAGGCCCCAGACATGCATGCCTGCCACCCCTCTGCACACCAGCATGGGTCCCTTTGGCTGATCATAGCTGCACATGTCCTGTGCACACACACAGTCATGCTTACTATGTGGCAGCCTGCAAGCTGTCTCAGTGCGCCCATCCTCGCCCTTGTGTCTGTGCGCTGAGACAGTCGCATACCTGTGTGTGCACCTGCATGCCAGCGTGGTCCCCAGACCACGGAGGGTCTACATGCGCTACAGACTGGGGACTCTTGGACAGGCTGGTTCCTACTTCTCAAGACACCAAGTGGAAGGACTTTACCCCTCTGGGATAATCTGTCTGCCAGTGGGAGGGGGAGGGGAAACTGAGGCCATGCATGTGTCACAGGACCCAAACTTTCCAGCCGTGACAGCTTTGTGTGGTACAGGTGAAGACGGTTGAGCTGTCAGCTGCCCAGGCAGCCTTGTGACACGCACACTGGCCCCGCAGCGGGGAGAATGGTGTGTCAGGCTGGCCTTCGACCCAGGCTGCACACGGTCTCCTGTACCTCAGCATTCACCACCAGAGCTTCCTCTCCGTGTTCCTTTCCGCCCCCTGCCTCCCTCCCTCTTCTCCTCTGCTGCTTGAAGCTTTCAATTGGCTTCACTTTAACACAAAGTCTAGACATTTTCTTTCCAAGTGCTCTTTCCTGGAGTCTCCCCGTGGGAGGGGCGGAGGTGGAGGTGGCGCTGTGGACACTGGTCCGGCTTTTTTTTTTGTACAAACTTGAATTTCTTTGACCATCTTGTGTCCTTGTTGGGACACAACTGTCGAGGGTCCTTGTAGTCTCTGGAGTCTGGAGCACAGGGTATGAGCTGCAGCCAGGTCTGGTGGTGGGCAGCTTGCAGGGGACCCCAGGGCAAACTTTGGGACTCTCGTTCTTCCTGGGAAAGTGAAGGATGTATCTGATGGGCTGTGGGCTGTGACCCCTGCTGCTGTCCCGTCCTCTGTCTCAGGGTGAGCAGCCAAGTCATCTTGCTGCTTCCCGTTAAATGGTCCAGGACAGGGTTGGGTTCCCCCACACTGTACGGAGGTGCAGTAGCTAAGAGGCGGCATGATTTAACCAGCTAATCAGGCTCTGCGGGCAGGGACTCCTGACTGCTGACATCGTGGGGACTCGTGTCTCGGGAGCCTTGGTCCTGGCCCAGGCTTTGCTGTGTTACTTGGGGGGAAAAAAGCCCTGTCTGGGCCTCTGGTTCTGGAAGGGGATATAAGGATCCAACCATGTTTGTCCCAAGTCCTGAGCCCCCTTTGGGATCAGCGTGCCCTCCTTGGGAGAACTCTATGGGGAATGTGTTTAGAGTCCCTAACTCTCGGCCCTTCTCCTTCAGCCTAGTTATGCCCATAGGACCAGCCTCCTTCTGCCGAGACCTCGGCCCTTGCACCCCACCACAAGGGAGGCCCACCGCCAGCATGTTCTGCTCCCCTCCCCCCATGGAAGCTGAGACAAGGGAATTATTTTTGGAACAAGAGCAGTTACACAACAAATGAATTATTTATCTTTGGGCATGGAGAATGAGGCATTTTGCTGGGCTTCTTAATTCTCATCCGGATTTGGGGGTGCCCACTTGGACGTGTGGACGTGTCTGTCATGAACACAGGGCTGGGGGTGTGTCTCCCTCCCATATGCATCCCGTGGCGCTTTGGTTTCGTAGGCTTTGTGCAGGCCAGCAGTTGCATGTGGGCACACTGCTGGCTGTGCCCTAGAGGGTGCCCATGTACAGTGTCCACCTGTTCCCCTCAGTTCCCCCCCCCCCGCTGGAGCTCTCCCTGAGTCTCTCTTCCCCGCCTTGCCACCCCCAGCCCTGCCTTGCTTTAAGAAGCAGGGGCCCTGGGGTACTCGCTGGCGCAGAGTCCCTTGTTCTAAAGGGTATATATAAGAGAGGGGTGGGGGCCTGCTGCACTGGATCTGACGGGGTGAGCCTGGACCCTCACAGTGATCTGTCACTCTCTCTTGATGCCACCTTGCAGGAACTAGGTGACAGATGGGCTTCCTTCCTGTCCCCACCTCGCTCGCCAGTCCTCAGTGTTGTGCTCCCGGCTCCTGGGGGAACTGCCTGAAGTTCTGAGCACAGAACCCAAGGGGGAGGAGGAGGAAGAGCAAGAAGAAGCCAAGCCTGGGAACCTGGGTTTCCAGCAGGAGCCTGGTGCCTGCTTGGAGCCCTTCAGAGCAGCAGGTGCCGGCGGCTGTGCTCATCCTGCCCAGGGCCCTCGCGCTGGAGGTCACCCCCAAGATGGTGGCGGCTCCGGGGAGGACTGTCCCACCAGCCCCGTCCTCTGGCTGCTAGGTCCCTCTGTTGTCTGGCCCTCGCCCCAGCTGGGTCTACAAGGGGCCGAAGCCCGGGACCATGCTGCGCCTGGGGCTGTGTGCGGCAGCGCTGCTGTGCGTGTGCCAGCCGGGGGCTGTGCGCGCTGACTGCTGGCTCATCGAGGGGGACAAGGGCTACGTGTGGCTGGCCATCTGCAGTCAGAACCAGCCGCCATACGAGACCATCCCCCAGCACATCAACAGCACTGTGCATGACCTGCGGCTCAACGAGAACAAGCTCAAGGCTGTCCTGTACTCCTCGCTCAATCGCTTCGGGAACCTCACGGACCTCAACCTCACCAAGAACGAGATCTCCTACATCGAGGACGGTGCCTTTCTGGGCCAGACGAGCCTGCAGGTCCTTCAGCTGGGCTACAACCGGCTCAGCAACCTGACTGAGGGCATGCTGCGTGGCATGAGCCGCCTGCAGTTCCTCTTCGTCCAGCACAACCTCATCGAGGTGGTGACGCCCACCGCCTTCTCAGAGTGCCCTAGCCTCATCAGCATCGACCTGTCCTCCAACCGCCTCAGCCGGCTTGACGGCGCCACCTTTGCCAGCCTCGCCAGCCTGATGGTGTGTGAGCTGGCCGGCAACCCCTTCAACTGTGAGTGTGACCTCTTCGGCTTCCTAGCCTGGCTCGTGGTCTTCAACAACGTCACCAAGAACTATGACCGCCTGCAGTGTGAGTCGCCGAGGGAGTTCGCTGGCTACCCATTGCTCGTGCCCCGGCCTTACCATAGCCTCAATGCCATAACGGTCCTGCAGGCCAAGTGCCGCAATGGCTCCATGCTTGCCCGGCCTGTGAGTCACCCCACGCCCTACTCCACGGATTCCCAGAGGGAACCCGATGAGAATTCAGGCTTCAACCCCGATGAGATCCTCTCGGTGGAGCCGCCGGCCTCGTCTACCACGGATGCGTCTGCGGGCCCGGCCATCAAGCTGCACCAAGTCACCTTCACCTCGGCCACCCTGGTTGTCATCATCCCGCACCCTTACAGCAAGATGTACGTGCTGGTCCAGTACAACAACAGCTACTTTTCCGATGTCATGACCCTCAAGAACAAGAAAGAGATCGTGACGCTGGACAAGCTGCGGGCGCACACCGAGTACACCTTCTGTGTCACCTCACTGCGCAACAGCCGCCGCTTCAACCACACCTGCCTGACCTTCACCACTCGGGACCCTGTGCCGGGGGACCTGGCCCCCAGCACCTCCACCACCACGCACTACATCATGACCATCCTGGGCTGCCTGTTTGGCATGGTCATTGTGCTGGGGGCTGTCTACTACTGCCTGCGCAAGCGGCGCATGCAAGAGGAGAAGCAGAAGTCTGTCAATGTCAAGAAGACCATCTTGGAGATGCGCTATGGCGCTGATGTGGATGCCGGCTCTATTGTGCACGCTGCCCAGAAGCTGGGCGAGCCGCCTGTGCTGCCTGTGGCCCGCATGTCCTCTATCCCCTCCATAATCGGGGAGAAGCTGCCCACCTCCAAGGGGATAGAGGCGGGGCTAGACACGCCCAAGGCGGCTACCAAAGGCAACTATATCGAGGTGCGCACGGGTGCTGCAGGGGAGGGCGTGGCCCGGCCCGAGGATGATCTCCCAGACATCGAAAACGGCCAGGGCTCGGCCGCTGAGATCTCTACCATTGCCAAGGAGGTGGACAAGGTGAACCAGATCATTAACAACTGTATCGATGCTCTCAAACTGGACTCGGCCTCCTTCCTAGGGGGCGGCAGTGGCGGCGGGGACTCTGATATGGCCTTCGAGTGCCAGTCCCTCCCTGCGGCTACTGCTGCCTCCTCGGCTGCCACCCCGGGGGCTCTAGAGCGGCCCAGCTTCCTGTCACCCCCCTACAAGGAGAGCTCCCACCACCCGCTGCAGCGCCAGCTGAGCGCCGACGCCGCAGTGACCCGCAAGACCTGCAGCGTGTCGTCCAGCGGCTCCATCAAGAGCGCCAAGGTTTTCAGCCTGGACGTGCCGGACCACCCGGCCACCGCCGGGCTGGCCAAGAGCGACTCCAAGTACATAGAGAAAGGCAGCCCCCTCAACAGCCCGCTGGACCGGCTTCCACTGGTGCCCACGGGCAGCAGCGGTAGCAGTGGCGGGGGTGGTGGCGTCCACCACCTGGAGGTGAAGCCGGCCTACCACTGCAGCGAGCACCGACACAGCTTCCCTGCCCTCTACTATGAGGAGGGCTCCGACAGCTTGAGCCAGCGAGTGTCCTTCCTCAAGCCACTGACCCGTTCCAAGCGTGACTCCACCTATTCTCAGCTCTCCCCCAGACATTACTACTCAGGGTATTCCTCCAGCCCTGAGTACTCGTCCGAGAGCACACATAAGATCTGGGAGCGTTTCCGGCCCTACAAGAAGCACCACCGCGAGGAGGTGTACATGGCTGCTGGCCATGCCCTGCGCAAGAAGGTCCAGTTTGCCAAGGATGAGGACCTGCATGACATCCTTGATTACTGGAAGGGGGTCTCAGCCCAGCAGAAGCTGTGACCCTCTCCTCCCCCACCGGTGAGGTGAGGGGGAGGGCAGGGGCACTCGGGGTACGGGCCCCGCCAGGGTGGCCGGGAGGCAGGGGACAGGCCAAGGGGTCTGGGCCAAGGGGGCCCGGGCCTAGGAGTGGACGTACACGCACACCCGCACACACGCACCCACACACACACTTGACCACCACCTGACTGTGAAGCAACCAACACCCAACAATAACGGACAGGAAAACAAACATTTTCCTTAAAGTTTACAACCTGCTACCGAAACCAGTTGTCTCTACTGTGCTGCCCAAAGGGACTCACTGGGCTGGGGAAGAGGCCAGAGAGGGTCTGGGGCCTGGGCTTAGGCGGGTTTGGTGGAAAAAGAATGTGGGGTAGAAGCAAACCATAGCCCTTGTTCAGGGAGGGTGTCCTCCACGCTGGGGGACATTTCCCTTGGAGAGCTGGCAACATGTGGACCCTGGGCATCCTCTCCTCCCACTTTGGATGGCCCAGAGAGAGGAGAAGAAGGCCCTGGGGTCTCACCCAACACGTTACGGCTTCCTGGCCCAGTATTGGTCCCACCTCCAGCTGCTCTTTGGACCGTGTCCCTCCACCCACTACCCCTTCCAAAGCTGTGGGCTCAGGGGTTTGGGACCGAGGCTGGCAGGTGCTCTTCTCTAGAAAGTCCGTAGGTACCCACGAGGTGAAAGTCTATGGTCCCTAGCCCTGGGTGGTCAGGAGCGAGGCGTGTCCTTCGGACCAGAGAGAGGCAGAGGCAAAAGGTGCCACCAACCCGCTTCAAGTGTCTTCCAAGTAGTCCCGGAGCTGCCTGGGGGTGGGATGGTGGGTATACCTGCTCCCCACTGGTGTCTCAGGTGCAGGCCCCCATGCCACAGCCCCTAGTTCCTCTGGGCCTCTGGGGTCCCTACCCACTGCGGAGAGGCAACAGAGAACGGTGAGGCCTGGGGCCAGTGAGGGGCTACGGAATGCGGGAGTCCTCCCTGCAGCCCGCACCCACGCCTGCTTGGCCCCTGCTGTGGGCAGCATTTTGGCCTGCCCAGGAGGGCATCTGTCCCACCCCACCCTGTCTCATGCCCTGGCTAGAGGGGCTCCCATGTTTCCATGGAAATGGCCACAGTCCTCCTCCCGACCCACTCCCGACACCAATCAAAGCACAAACAGTGAGGTGCCCCCTACTGCCCTGGTCAGGGAGCAGCCCAGGTTCCTGGCCCCTCCCCTTCCCTAGCTAGTCTGTTGCCATGGCAACCCAGTGCCTGGCAGTTGGTGCCCAGAACGACCAACTGACCAACCGTTGGGCTGTGGGGCTCTCTCAGTGTGGGTGGCAGCAGAGGACGGTATAGGAGGCCCGGCCAGGCGGCAGCGCTCTCAAGAGCCGGGAGTTTCCAGGGCCAGGCTCCGGAGGCTGTTCTGGAGTCCTGAGACTAGGCTGAGGCAGTGTCTCTGCCTGTGGGACATGGGGTCAGCTGCACTAGTCAGCTGTGCCCTTTGGGTTGCCGCTGAAATAGGTATGGGCCTTCTCAGCTCTACCCCAACCCTTCCAGAGACCCCTCGCTCCTGAGGTGGGGGAATGTGACTGTGGAGTAAGGGGGCTTGAGGGTGGCATCTCACTTGACCTGTGAGAGCTCTGCCCAGGAAAGCTAGGGCTATCCTTGGGGGTTGGGATACAGGGAAGGACTGGGGTGGGGAGACTTGACTGAACACATCAACTTTGCAGTGGGCCAAGCCCAGGGCTCACTCAGGGGTGACATTTGCAAAAAATAATAATAATAATAAAACAAAGACTGTTCTCCGGGGGAGAGGAGGGGACTGGCCAGCCTGGATGTGAAGAGCAGAGTTTCCCCTGCCACAATCCTGCCCTCACCCCACCCGCCACCCACCACCCGAGAACAGCAGGCAGGCTTAGAGGCCGGGGGTGTAAGCAAGCAGACCCCTGTTATCTTTGCATGACGATTTTACTGTATTTTTCTGAGCAAACAAACATCTGTCGTGTATGTGCCAGTTCGTCCAGACTCCCCTCCCCACCCCCACTCCCCTCCATGTGATCCGAGCAGCTCTTGAAACCCAGGGAGGACCAGCTCTGCAGAAGACCCAAAACAGGTGCCACCAACATAGCCCAGCCTGTCCATCCTCCTCCCGTCTTCCTGGGCATTGGGCCCACAAGTGCTGCCCGCTCTCCTCTATCTCCACCTTCAATCCAGCCTCTGTCCCATTCCGTCCCTGCTGGTCCTTTCCCCTCCTCTCCACCATGGAAGGCTGTCTCGAGGCCGTGCTCTTGCGGAAGGGTCTATGGGAGGACCTTTGTCAACCTGTTCCCGTTTGGAGATGAAGCTGGGGTCCTTTGCAGAGAGATGCCTTGTGTGGCAGCTCAGCCAGCCACACAGGATGGGGAGGGCTGTCAGCCATACTGAGAACAGGAGGTCAAGAGCTTGGAGCTTCATGGAGAGGTTTGGGGCTCTGCAGGAGGGGAGTGGGCCTTGTCATGCCCGGGGGTGGGGGGAATCCCTACAGTGGACCATTATTCCTGGCTGAAGATAACTTATAAAACCTCAGATGCCACTCAGAGGATCCATTTCAACAGTGGGGCCCATGCCACAGGGATCTTTGAGAAGAGCAAGGGCCCAAGCATAGGCACTTCCACTGGCCTGGTCCTCCAGCTGCCCTGGTCAGTCCTCTGGCACATCCTGTGCACTATCTAGGATGGCTTGTGCCTGGGCAGAAGTAAAACAGTCACAAGACAAATGTATACTTACTCCCTAGGTCCAAGTGAAGCCCCCGGCTTTGTAAAAGCCATGAGGTCTGGGCTGAGGCTCGAAGGCAGGCCATGATTAGGGGCACAGGGAGAGGAGGAACCCAGGGGTTTCATGGAGCAGTCATCTGGGGGACATGTGGGTTGGAAGTCACAACTGGACTTCCCTGACCTCATAGAGAACAACCCGAGAAGCCATCTTTGTTGGACCATGTGGCCTTCTAGAAATAAAAACAACTTAGTCTTAGCTAAGTCCTAGGAAAGGGTCCTTCTGTCACCAGTGGCCCTATGACTCTGCTCCTTCTTGAGCACAGAGCAGGACACTCTGGGGCAGCCCGTGCAGGGCCTGGGGGACTGTTCGAGAGAGGTGGCTAGGGAAAGCCCTGGCCACCTTAGGAAGACTTGGGCAGCACAGAGCAGCCAGACAGAGATGGCAGTGACATCTGGGGCTGGCCCATGACCCTCCATGTTCCTGATTAGAAGTCACCTGTGCCCACAATCCAGAAAATGTAAGGTGTTGAAGTGGGCAGAAGAACAGGGGGAGGGAAACTTCTAGACAGGCCCAGAGGGGACAGACGGGGACAGAAGCAGCGACCCTCCCAACCTCCCCGTTAATGAGGGAATGAGACCGCAGGGTAGAAGATGCAGGTCGCTGCAGAGAATGGAGGGATGGGGTCGGGGGTCGGGAGCAAGTGGGCTCTGGTCTCTCCAAGGAGATGCCAGGCAACAGACAAAGAGAGCCAATGCTTTGAAAATGAGCTGGAGGGAGAGGTGTTAGACCTGCTGGCTGTCTCCAAGCTTCTTCTCTGGCCATCCTATCACTCTGTCCTAGCAAGTCCTAACATGGCTGGGGGCCTTTTCTCTAGGGTGTGGCTGGGTTGGAAAGGGTGTAGGAGGTTATGGGGTGTCTAACTGCCTGTAGGGTGACCTCACCTCCTTGATGTTTGTCCATCTTGACAAGGCTTGCTCTCTGGGATCCACCCCACCCCCAGCCCTAGGAGAGGGTACCTCCCAGTCCCCCGGTCACATGGCTGACACCTTCCATGACCTACATCCACCTCTAAGAACTAATTTCTCCCGCTACTTGCCTCAGAGCCCCCTAGATGCCAGCTGCCCCCTGCTGGGCAGCCGGGAGACTAGAGGTTCCCACAAGGAGTGTCCTCTTTTTTCTCCCTCTTCTGCCAGGCAGACACAGGGCTGTGGTGGAGGTCTAGGCAATGATGGCCACCTCTCCTCCCCGCTTCCTGCCCCCACCCTCCTCAGGAGCTGCCAGCCCCCAGGGGCACGGCAGCCTGGCACCTGGTTTGAGGCCTGCGGAGCTGGGCACAGGGCCCTGGACTCTGAACCTGTGGCCCTTGCTGTGTACGGAACTTGCCTCCCCCTGGGGGCCTTGGACCCTCTCCTTCTCTTCTTTTAGGGGGTAACTTCATTTATTTCTCTTCCTTCCATTTGCCTCTTCCACGAATTTTCCTGTTTTAAACCGAATGGCACGAAATCGTTTTCCTCACCTTGGAGATTCCTGTATGGAGAGAATCAATTTCTATATTTGCAATAAATTTCTTATTTAAAACAGCAGGGTGGAGGTTTGCATCGAGTGCATCTCCAGCGTCTGAAGTTCCTGGTGTCCCTTCTCACGCCTTTTCCTGGCTAACGGGGCTGAGTGGGTAGTGTCATCATGGAGTGCCTACCGGGAAATGTTGGGGTTCCCTTCATTCCCACCACCCCACCCCGTCACAAGACCTTGCAAGTCACTCAGCACGGGGACCTGGTGACCTGGTACTGTGGTGCTGGCCTCTCGTGCACACCCCTGGGGAGGCACACGGGCAGCAGAAGGAGAATTGCCCTAGACTGTGATCCCGGGAGCCCCGTTTGCTCCAGGCTATTTCCCCACTCCTGCCTAGGTGGGGGACCCCTAGGCTGCCTCTGAGTCTGGACCGGGTGCCTGTCCCTGGACCCTGATCACTCCTTTTCCACGATCTTTTCCTAATAGCTGTGGACCATCCCTGCCTTGAAGAACCAAGACTTCCCATGGGTTCCTGTGGCCAGACAGAGTATGGGTTGGTTACCTACCATGCCAGGTGCGGCTTCAGGCTTAACTGCCAAACCTTTGGGGCCGGAGTAACCACTGCTCCGCCCCTCCCTCCCAGAGCCACTTCTCTTCCCTCAGGCTCGATTTCCTCCAGCTGCTTCACACTCCCCCTGTCAGAAGTGTGCCCGCCCCACTTGGAGGACTCCCAGGACTGACGTAGTCCCCTGGAGGGATGGCACGCTAGGGATGTGACTCAGTTGGTAGAGGGTTTGCTTAGCACACACGAAGCCCCGGAGGCCATCCCTAGCACCACCGTGACAGCAATGCCTGCAACCCCAGCACTCTACAGGTGGAGGCCTTGGCTGTGTGGGAAGTTCCAGGTCAGCCTGGGGTAGATGAGATCTTGTTTCAGAAAAAAACGAAGAAAAAGGTTTTAGTATAAATATAAGCATGGGCAGTGAGGGAGAGACAGTTCAGAAAAGGACAGTACACACATTCTGGGCTTCGGACGAGAGCCCCACTCAGACTTAATAATAACCATGAACGCTGTTTAGGTGAGCTCTGCAGTTACGTTGTTCAAGGGGTTTCTAAGGACCTTTCTTCTCTTGGTAAATGAGGTCCTCCGGTGGTTTCTGAGGACACTGTATAGGATAGCAGGCTGACATGGTGAAGCCACAGGTCACAAGGGTCAAAGGAACCCTTGCCATGCTCGTTACAAGAAAGCTGAGACTCAGGCCCGTGATGCTGCTGTGTGAGTCTGAAGCCATCCACAGAGTGGGGGCAGGAGAGGGAGACTTTAGTCCTTAAGCATGGCTTGTTGCTGTTTTAGTGTCCATTTGTGTATGGGTGTTTGCCTGCATATATGTCTGTGCACCACGTGCCTGCCTGTCGTAGTGTTTTTATTTGCGTATTTGTAAGTGATATGGGTGATCTTCACGGTGAATTTTATTGTGTCAAATTCCTCTGTCCGCTAGAGGGGGGTGACCGGCTCCTTTCTCTTTTGAGTATCCATCTCCCCTTACTCTCCCGCCTCAGGGCGTCCACTGGTCCACATCCTCCTGCAACCTCCCGCAGCCCAGGGAAGCTGCCGTCCTTAGGCAGTTATGGTAGATCTTGGTCTGACCATCTCTGCTTCCTGGCCCTAGAGTTGCTGGGGTTCTACCAAAGTCCATAGTCCTGGGGACTCCCCCTGGGTCTGGGCCTTTCTCCAGCTTCAAGTTGCCCTGCCCTACTGGATGCCTTCTGTCTGCACTTCCTTGGGTCTCCTAGGCCCGCCCATGAGCAGGGGCCCAAAGCCTCCTCCTTCAGGGAAGGGCCTAGCATTTTGCTCCTCTACAATGGCTTTGTGGGTGACCTGTTAGTTCACATTTTCTTCAAATTCTTCCTCATTGTGGGGTGTGGCTGTCTCCTGGGCCTCTTCTATACTGTTAGCTGGGAATCCTAGGCCCTTCTCCCCTCCCTCCTTCCTCGTCTTCAGCTCCCAAGACCTACTCTTGTAGGCAGCACCTGGCTCCTCACGGGCCCTTTACCCACAGGAGGGTGAGCCACTCCTGCCCTTGTAGGTGGGCTGCCCTCCACCCCTCCCTCTGCCCCTGCCAACTCCTGACTCACTCCCACTCAGTCGTCCTTGGGCCTTGCATTTCAGAAGAGGACTTTTTTTTTATCTGCCTTGCTAACTCCTACACAATACTTAAGGGACTCAGGCTTGTTCCTACTATTGTCCAACTACCAAGAGAGGCCTGGGCCGGGCGCGCTCTGTATAATTTCTGAGGCCTAAGCGACAGCCTAGGTGGGACACTAGAGGTGGTCTCCTTGGCAACAAGCTGGTCAGTCCACATTCTGCTCTGCTGCAGCCACGCCCCCTGTCTTGGGCTCCTGTAAAACAGACTCTGGTGGCCTGTCTTTGGTCCTTAGGAACCCTACCATGCTCACATGAGGATGAGTTTACCAGTGACCGCAAGCACAGAGCCACCCCGGATGCTGTGGCTTGTCAGTGTCCTCCTCTTGACCTCCTCCAGCAATCTTCCCTCTGCTGCAGGCCCTTCTATTGGGAAGGAACCCTCCTTTCCCTTTCATTCGTATTTGCATATAGGGTTTACAGCCTGCCCCCTACCTTAGCTGGGCATGACAGTGGCACTGCCCCTATTATGTTGCAGACAGCAAACTTCTCTAAGTGATCTGGCATGCATGGACGCAGGAGAGACCGGGTGGTAGAGGGAGGCACACATGACTGGGCTGCAGTAGGTATTACTGCCCTGTAGCTCCCCCCGGAAGCCCCCAGCTGCTATCCCCAGGATCATGGCTGCCATGCTGGTTGGTAGACACAGACTCCCTGTGCAGAGCTGTGGCTGCAGTGCAGGTCTTTCTCTTCCTTTTTCTTTTTTACTTTTCTTTCATACAATACATCCTGACCGCAGCCTTCCCTCTCTCCCCTCCTCCTAGTCACCCCCAAATTCCCCTCTCCCCCAAATGCACTGTTTCTCCATTTCTCTTCAGAAAAGAGCAGCAGACTTCCCAGGGATGTCAACTGAACAGGGCATAACACGACAATGAGCAAACTCCTATCAAGGTTGGACAAGGCAACCCAGCAGGAAGAAAAGGGTCCCACGAGCAGGCAAAAGAGTCAGAGACAGCCCCACTCCACTGTTAGAGTACAACAAAAGCCCCAAGCTGAACAGTCATAGCATGCATGCAGAGGGTCATCGCAGATCCATGCAGGCCTCATGGTTGCCTTCTCAGTCACTGGGAGCCCCTATGAGCCCTGCTTAGTTAATTCTGTGGGTCGTGTTTTTCTGTCTTGCCTGTAAGATGTGCTGGGACAAAAAAAAAAACAGATTCTGATCCTTAATTGGATAATTTAATAATGACATGTAAAAAATGTGCTGGGACAATAGTGGCTCACAGTTTGTAAGAGTGGCCAGCCAATGACTGGTCTAACTTGAGGCCCAAACTCAGGAGGGAGCCATGCCTGACACTGCCTGGATGGCCAGGATCTGGAAGCTAGATGGCTTAGGACCTAGGGTAGAACTAAACAGTGCAGGTCTTTCAAAGAACACCTGATCTAAAGACACGAAGCACCAACCATGGCCCCCTGAGGAATGCGGCAGGTTCAGTCAAGCCTTGTGGACCTCTGTGGTCCCAGCGGCTCGGCTCTTGCAGGATAGAGGCGATGTCTCCTGCCCTTTACTCTTCTGTGCTGCGAGAGGGGGTGGGGAGACAGCACAAGGTCAAAGGTTGCTTCCTTGAGCTAGGTCACCTCATCTGACCCCAAGGCTTTTCTTGTTCTTCTATATAATTTCTTTCTGACACTTCTTCAGTGGGGATGGCCTTACAGAATGCCCCAGTCTGGCAGCTAACAAGTTGAGGAGTGCTAGTCTGTGACAGCCCTGGGTCTTGGATTCTGCACCTTGATTCAAGCTACTTAAAATTCTTCTAAGATTAAATTCTTAGGATAAAGTCTTCATTCAAAGATTAAAAGAATGAATCAAAAGACTAGGAGTTGGGAGGGTCACCTTGGGTTCTAGAAAGTACCACAAGGAGGTAGGTGGCGTCTTGGTTGTTCTCGTTGTGTCCAAATGTGACCTTGATCCTGAGATGGAGGTGGCATCAGGTCTCTTGGGTCAAGCATGGCCCTCACCCAGGCTGTGTACACAAGAAGGGATTGCATGGACCCAATCCCAACCCGGCTCCTCACCGCAGCACCGACATGCGTGTTCTCAGAGCCTCCATGCTTGACCGTTCTTGAAAGACCCGGGGTGCCAGGATGGTCTCTGTTGGCCTCAGGCACACATCCAGGGTCTATCCTCCTGCAGATGGCCGTAGCCCACTGTGTGGGTGTCTTCTGCAGGTGCAATGGCCCAGGGCAAGCTGCACAGAGAGCTTCAGACAAAACTTAGCCGGACTTGGTATGTGTGTGTAAACACTTGTCTTGTCCCCTAAGTTGTGGGATGTGCTGGGAGAGCAGACAAGGGGCATGCTACAGGCTAAGGAACTGGGCTTACCTTTCCCTGGCCACTGCGTCAGGGAGTCCACGGATTTGAACGTGTGGCTGGCAAGACCCTGCTGAGGTGTATTTGTCAAGAAAGAGTTGAAGGGGAGCTATAACAGGTTGTTAGCTTGATTTCTGACTTCTCAATATTTACTGCCATGATATGCAGCCACCTTGGGGCTAGACTTGGGGTGCAGAAACTCCAGTGGGATGATGTGGGCAGTCGACACATTGGAACAGGATACAGCTATAAGCTGGGAGCCCCTTTTGCATTTAGGTGTCTGGTCAGGAGCAGATGTCTTTGAAGGCCATGCCCCAGGTAGAGGTGGAGGAGAGTGGGTCTCAGGAGAGTGGATAGTACTAGGACCCATGAGCTGGACCGGACCAGCTGGTGAGTGTGGGCGTGGGGGAGTGGTGAGACAGTGGGAAGCCCAGGCAGGCAGTCCCTTGGCCTGTGGGACACCTCCCTCTGCCTGTCCCGCGGGCTGCAGTGAAGCAGTTAGACAGTTGAGAGGCTCCTTGGCTTTCTAAGAGGAGGCTGGACTTCTTTCTGTA